TACAATGGCAGATGACTTCATTTCATACCATTTAGTTCTTTTAGGATAACACATAGTCTCTTCAAAAGAATTCTCATCATAAGATAAAGATCACAATTGTTTCATAAAGAAAGTTATATCCAATAAAAGATATATCCAACTTCTGAAGACAGAGGTTTTGTCCAGCTAATGTCTAGCTATTGCAGGTAAAGCGTCTTTTCAGCTTCTCTCAAGTCCTCATTTCTATTAATGGTTTCTCCCTAGACTCGCTCCTCATAAAATTCTCATGAAATGTTTGCTAACATTATAATTGTTACTCTCTAGGGGCATAACAAATTGCTCCTATTTTACCTATTCATCTGATACAGTTGGATAGGGACTCATCTGTAGTTATGAACAAATTTCAATTTCCTTCAGCAACTTAAACAGTACAGTTAATTAGTGGAGGAACTACACATAGCATAATTATATTTCTTTTTCTCTTAATAATAACCTTTTTGGAATTTGCAGTTGTTATCTCTTTCTTTTCTTTTCTTCTTTTTTCTTTTTATGGCCATAGAGGCATAATGGTAGGTGTTTGGATGCTCTAAAGACTATAGCAATTTGGGAGTTAAAAGCTCTTTTCTGGACAACAGAGATCCCCAGCTGTTACAAATTAGGTTGATGAACCATTCCCTTAGCTCAACTTAGGGGGCTAATTACTAGCCATCATTTGAAATTAGATAGGCTGGACTTAATGCAATAGGATACAGACTGAAAAATCAGATTCAATTGAAGTGCTTCTTATCTTTTTTGAAGATTGTTTTGACCTAAACAAGTTTAGTCTGATAGGACGTGATGTGATTTATTTTTAATTCACTTATTTGCTTATATAAGTATAACATTGCCCAAGAAAGCCTATTACTCACGTTATCGAATTTTTTTCTTCTAGATAACAGTAGTTAGTCTACCACAAAAGCCTGAGTTCTATATTAGGTAACCTTGTAATTACTTAAGCATAACAACAGTCCAAAAACATTTCACTGTCCCTTTCCTGAATCATAAATTTAGAGTTTGTAGGGGCTTTAGTGGCTATTGAATACAATGCCTTAATTTTACAGATAAGGAAACTGAAGCCAGGAGGTGAAGTGACTTAGGTCACACAAATGATAAATGGTAGAGCTGGAATTTGAGCCCAGGATCCTTGACTCCAGATCCAGAACTTTTTCTCACTGAACCAATTTCTGGGATAGATTTTTTTTTTTAATCCTTTGTGGATTACAATGAACTGGAATTTTATCTTGACAACATACTGGAATGAATCCTTCCATGGACCATGGAGTCTGATTAAGAAAGGGAGAAGTAAAGGTCTCCAAGGTGAATCAGAACTTTCCTCTCTGAATTCCTAGGCTCTGATTCAGACTAACTTTAATATATATGGTATACATATATTATATGGCATATATGATATGCCATATGGTAAACTAGTGGCATCTCCTCCCAAATCTCATGGAGGGTCACCTAGAAGAGGGTACTTAGGCTCCAAGTACTCTGTGGATCTGTATCCACTCAAAACCATAGCTTATAATCTCTTACTTTTTCTTCTGGGGATATAATTAGTTCACAGTAAAGGCACCTAATGAAATTGCATTAAAAAGGAGTAATAAATGCTTCCTCCATAAGCTTAGGTCATTATCTCTCCCAAATATACTCACTATCCATGGCAAGAATGGACATATGTATGGCACACGTGTCAAGATGCACACGTGTAAGGAACGTAGATGGCAAAGAAAAGTCCTCTGACTGGCAATGCACAGCTGAAGGGCTTCACTGTTCCTTACTGGTTTCACATTTCTGCAGTCTGTGCCAAGCATGTTGTCTTTGACTGGTGTTTGAGTGTGGCATTTAGTATCTGCCAGATGTCAATTCTTGCTAGCCTTGTGCGGCCTCCACCTTTCTGATGGTTACTTCCAGGCTTGCAAGAAGTTGGAGACCTTCCCTTTGCTTCTAGCTTTCCCTAAAGTCCACAGCTCAGGCGCTACCTCAGAAAGAGACACAGCTTTTTTTTTTTTTTTTGGTGAAAGTTTTTTTTTTAAACAAGTGATTTTATCTATTTATTTTTTTGTGTGTGTGAGGCAATTGGGGTTAAGTGTCTTGCCCAGGGTCACACAGCTACTGAGTGTTACATGTCTGAGGTCGAATTTGAACTCAGGTCCTCCTGACTCCAGGGCGGGTGCTCTATCCACTGGGCCACCTAGCTGTTCCAATACAGCTTTTCTTGAAAGGCTAACTCCCGAACACATCCAGTCATCAGACTAGGGGAAAAACCAAAACCAAAAAACAAAGCCTTCAGTGGCTTTTCTTCTCATACAAAGAAAACTCCTGTTTCTCTAAGCCTTGGTTAGAATGTATACTTCTTCTCCACAAGAAGATTCCATGCTTCAGGTCAAATTCTTTGGAACAGAGAGCCAGACCCATTCTTGAAAGCCAGTGTGTAACTTAAGTTTTATTTCTGTTTTATAAAACTGTATTTCCTAGTTATCAGGAACCTAGACCTTTGTTCTCTGTCACAGGCTTCACTATGGCTTAGGATCAGAAAATCCATGTAATTCCCTGTTTAGTTTCCAATTGCTAAACTTGTCTTAAGTGAGCATCCATTCTAGCAAACTAACAAAAGTTCACTGTTGCCCAGTTCTACAAGTCTCTTATGCAAAGCAGGGGGTATAGAGAAAGGCACAGGAACAAAACTACCTCCAGAGAGAAAGGTCACTGTTTTCATCATGCTTAGCTTATATTCCCTAAACTTTCAAGTATGCAGTGGGAAGAATAAGATAACGTAAGTATTACTGCTAGCTCTGCTGTTATTTACTATGTGTGTGTGACCTTGGACATGTAACTAACTTTCAGGCCTCATTTTCCTCATCT